AGGGACATGTGCTTCCTTGCCTTTTCACTGGCCACATCTCCTGGGTTTGCTGTCCCTCTTTAAGAGGGTTATATTCATTGGAAAACCTGGCTTATGGTAAATTTCCCAAATCCAGTAACTTCTGTGTCTGGCCAGCTTTATATAGCCCTCCTTTCTACACACCTGTGGCCTACCACAGTAAGGGGGAGTCTAGCCCAGGCAAGAAACCTCAGTCTCCAAGGTCTACGTCACTCATGACACCACTTTGTGACTTTGGAAGACACCTATCCAATGTCAATCAGATATCTGTCACAGAGGTGTCCCATTGATAACCTTTGATATGCACAGCATCTGTGCTCGGTACAAACTGAGTGTGTGAAGAGGCCAGTCTCTACTGCCAGGTTCTCCTAGAATGAAGAGATTTTCAGCTTGTCCTTAGATGTTCTGTGGCAGCAGAGCTTCCCTTGGTAAGGTCTCCATCTCAATCTCTTCTTGACAAGAATCCTTTCATGTCAGAAAGGAAACAGTTCAGAGCCCCTTTGTGTCCTGTGGAGATATCCTATCACTTTCGTACATTATCTTTCTCTCTGCGTGAAGCTTTACCCTTTGTGAGTTTGTCTCACTTCCTCACCACAACCCTCTGTCCTCTACCACGTATTTTCCTTCTGTGGTCCCTAAAGCTCCACCTTCTCCCCCCCCTTTTGCCATAGGGTGAGTGTACTGGCTGGAGAGTGACAGAGAGAGAGAGAGAAAGAGAGAGAGAGAGAAATCACCCCCCCCACACACACACACACCCCTGAGGGAGGATAACTTTGCCATAATCCCTTCTCCATTCTCCTTTTGGAATTTTGGGCATGCAGGCACACACACACACACACATCCTGCATGATTTTTTGAGCCCTTGGGTCTAGGACTTCAACAGCTGAGTAAGCTGTGTGGGATCCAATGCCTTAAACTTCATGTCATCTGGTGGCTCCATGGCTCCACCTTCCCATTGCGGATCGTAAAGCCCTGAGTAAGTTTAGCACTCACCATGTCTTAACTCACTAGATACAGATATAATACCTATTTACCGTTCTGTCTCACTCACTTGCTGTTTAGGAACCTGTTTTTCTTTCCCCACTCTTTCTTGCTCTTTTCCCTTATTACACAGACTCTCTAAATTACGGTATTTGTATTTGGAATGTTTTATTCTGCCAGTTTGTAAACTGTTTTTGCATATTCTTTCCACACTCTGGGTGACTTCAGGGAAAATAATCTCTTCATTGGTTCCAGTCTTGCCTTCTCCATCTCTTCTATAGTCCATGATAAAATCTGCAAGTTAATCCACCCTTAGAAAAAGATCTGAGGCTAGCAGATAGCATAGCAGTTACATTGCTGGACTCCCACATTGGCCGACCGCAATTTGAGTCCTGGACCCAGTGTCTTGAAACTCATGCCTCGACATGTGTGTGTGCATGCCCAAAATCCTGGAAAGAGAATAGAGGACAAAGGATTGTGGCAGGGCCACCTCTTCTTGGGGGTGATTTCCCACTTTCCGTCTCACTGTCTCTGTCTCTCTCTCTCTCTGGCAGTGCACATACCCTAAAGAAAAACCTCTTAAAAAGAAGAAAGACAGGAAAGAAAAAAGGAAGGGAAGAAGGATAAAGGAAGAGAGAGAAAGAAAGAAAGAAAGAAAGAAAGAAAGAAAGAAAGAAAGAAAGAAAGAAAGAAAGAAAGAGAAGAGAAAAAAGAAAGAAAAGAGAAAAAAAAATAAAAGAGAGAAAAAGATCTGATTCCAGGCATTTACCCTTAAGGGTATAACTGTGTGAATAAGTTACAGACGTCAAGAAGTAACTACATTTTAGGCTGCATCTCCAAGAAAGAAACTATAGGCTTGTTCCCTGGTAAGGAATTCCAAGCCCTGCGGTGAAGGCAGAGGGACGGCTCTCTGTATGCTCACCCTGAGAGACGGCCACTTGGTTGAGTTTGATGTGGTACATAACAGATCGCACCTTCCAGTGCTGCAGCACGGGGTACCCAGACACCTCACTGAAGTTCACCATCCCTGGGGACAGAGAGATGCAGGGTCAGTGCACACGATCGACTTACCAGTCCCAAATCAAAAAACGTGACCTGACTTCATTAGTTAGAGATTGCAATTGTGAGCAAATGATTAAGTGTTCTTTGATGAAGAGAATTTCTGGAATTGGAGTAACAGCAGCTATCATTTATTGAACCTTTACTCTGTGCCAGGCATTTTCCTAAGCACTTTGCATATATTAAGCCTTAGATCCTTGTGGGATTGGTGTCATTATTTGCATTTTACAAATGAGGAAACTGAGGTTCAGAGAAGGTGTTTATATAATAAAGTCCCCGAGAGACTAGGTAAACCAGGATAGGGTTCCAGGTGTGTCTGAGGACAGGGTTGAGGTTCTTACTCATTCTACTATCACATCCCCATTATAAATTTATATTAAACGCTAGGCTTACTGTAATACACGGGCTTTTTACTCTCTTTAATGGTTGCAGTAATTGACTTAGCTCACGTACCTGATAACATTGATTTTTCTGTCTCGTTTAACTGATTTGTGTTCAGTATTTAAGTTTTAATTACTCTGAGGCTGATAATATTCATTTTTTTCTTTACCAGAAGGGACAGTGTAAGAGTGACCTAATAATGAAAAGGCAGGGATGGCCAAATTCTGAGTGCCACTTAGGTGCCAGGAGCTACTTACGGTCCTCCCTTTACTGATGGAAAAATTGAGACTCTGAGAAGCTAAGTTAGTTGTCCAAGGTTACTCTCAATAAACACATCCTTGGAGACTCTTAGATGTTATTAGTGACGAATCTTGAGCACCTTGGAGAAAGAACGTCCCCCTACCTGAATTCTAGCTATTACTGTAGATATAAAATGCTACAGAAACAAAATAATTAGGCAGTAGGAAATTGAAAAAATCATCTTGCTAAGTTTAGAAAATTAATTTTAGCTTCATTTTAATGCCTAATGTTTACTATATGTGTAAGTTATAGAAACATATATACATTTTATATATATATATATTATATATACATATATATAACATATATGTGCATGTGTATATAGATACAAATATAATGACTATATATAGTAAATTTATATGGACAGATATGTATACATAAATTTGTATATGCAATATGACATGCATTCTTTAGCTATGCATATATAAATTTACCGTACATGTGTATACTACTATTAATAAAGTATATAAATTTACTATAGATAGTCATTATATTCATACCTATATGTATTTATGCATATAAAAATATATTGTATGAGAGAGAGAGAACAAATATAGTGGTAATAATACATATGTAGTGATCTATCCTGCCTTTTTGACCTATGCTTCCTTCAGGCTAAAACAACTAATTTAATACCTAAACCGGAAAAAGAGTAGGCAGGATTAATTAGCTGCTTGTCAACCCTGATCAAATTAGCTGAGTAATTACCAAATTTCCATTTCTCTGTGAATCATATGGGAACAATTATTGGTAAGGCAAAAAGAAAAAAGGTCAGGAAAGGTGCTTAGTGAATCAATTGCTTAAATTTTATCTTAGGCCATCAAAGATAAGTTACCTGAAACTAAGAGAGGGTTTTCAGTACTTTTTTTCTTTCAAGTATTCTTCTTTTGGGACATTAAGCTTTGCAATAACAGCAATACCATTACACAGTCTGGCTTTTAACCTTTATGTTAACTTCAAAAGCATAAAATTGAAATTCTATCTTTACAAGTTTAAGACTTCAGTCACATCCCTTAAAGGTACATTTCATTCGAGCCTGAGAAGTGTATGACATGTGGAGCCGCACAGTGGGACGCATATTCTCTAGCTACGTCAACTCCTCAGCTTTGTGGGTATTTGAAAAGTTTATTTATATTAAAAAAAAATGTACCAAGCCCAATAAATAAAGACTTTTCAACTTATTACAAAAGAAGCTTCCTTTAACTGAATCATTTCCTGATGGGAAAAGAAACAGGTAAGAAATCGGGAGGCCAGAGTTCCAGGGCTGGCTGTGATGCTGCAGTGGGCAGTTTCAGAATGACAGGCCTTCGATAACTGTCACTTTTGTTCCCATAACCTGGGCTTCCTGTCTGGCTACCTGGCAAGGGCATCTTTTGGTTCCCAGTTGTTTCATCTCTAAAATGAGAGCTTGGCCACGATGATCTCTCATTTCCTTTTCAATTCTATGATTCTCCCTCACTGTATGACTCTGGCTAGGCAATTCATTTGCTTCCACCTTCGTGTCTGAAACGTGGGGATAATGATAGTCGTCCTATTTACCTTACAGATGGGTTGTGAGAATGAAATCAAATGAAGGCCATAAAAGTACTTAAGGAAAGATAAAGCACCATGCATACACACATGGCCTCCATAATCTTGTCATCCTCCTCCTCCTCACCTCTTGCATCACTCCTAACTGTGTAAACTTGACATTTCTTAATTGATGCTTTTGTTATAACTTCATAAGCTTTAGTTCAGAACAACAGAGGAAAGAAAAAATAAAGAGACAAGCTCAGATGTGGAGGGTGGCGGCAGTGATAGGAATGCCAGTGCCCCACATCCATCCAGGATAAGCCGAGCAACAGAACTCCCTCACTCAACTGCTAAACAGCAATTCTACTGGATACATTTAGGCTATACCATAGGCAGGGAGACAGTTATGGAATGCTAATGTTTGGGAAATGTCTTCATGTGCCCACTTACAGAGAATATTTCCATTAGTTAAAGAGAAAGGGATATTTTAAAGTAGATAGGTTTTTTGCTGAGTCATGTGATTCTCTCCCGGTGTGTCCTTGACATGCAGTGAGGTTCAGCTTTTTATTTTATTTTGTTATTATTTTGGGTCACATTTCTGCTGAATGACTTTTTTTCCAAACATAATATTTCTGGCTATGTTTTCTCAAGAAAGACCATTATTTTTTCCCTTATTTATGCTCAAGAAAAGAATCACTGAATGGACCTTATGTGTAATCTTCAAAAGAAGGAAGGAAGGAAGGAAGGAAGGAAGGAAGGAAGGAAGGAAGGAAGGAAGGGAGGAAGGAAGGAAGGGAAAAAGGAAGGAAGGGAGGGAGAGGGGGATGAAGAAAGAAAGGAAGGAAGGAGGAGGAAGGGAAGAAAAGGTAGGAAGGGAGAGAGGAAGAACAAGGGAGGAAAAGAGGAAAGAAAACTTACTTTTTCTTGTTATTTTATTCAAAATGTTGGGGATATATATGATTGCCTCAAAGTTCTAAAAACCAAGAATCTGTTTCATTTGGATGAACTTGGAGAATTTTCACAGAGCTCAGAGTCCTTAATTTTCACACAGGTTTAGTGAATGCAGCACCCAGCAGGTCGATGGACATGGCCATCTACCTCCTAGTCAGTCTCTGGAATCCCTCTTTTTCTCAACTAGAAAGCTGAATATATAAGTGGATGATGGCCAGGCCATATGTAAACGCAACTCTGACAACCTACAGCCACCAGCTCGGAAAACTAACTCATTATCTACAGTAAGCGGCCTAGGAAGCCAGACGGTTATCTGTGAGTCAGACCTGCAGGAAGTCAGGCCAGTATATCTATCAAACAGTCTGAGAAGCTAAGCCATAACTCTTAGAACAGTTGGCCCCAAACTACTGGGATTTGATTAAGCACTGACAACTTATTATTTTTTTTTCTGTTTCCCACCTAGGTTAAACCAAAGAAAACCAAATATGCCTCTTGACCGATCACATAGGGTGTTCTGCTTCTAGTTAGCCCTGCTTTCATTTCCTCATGCCAGCAGCCTCCAGTATGGGCACATCTAATGCCACCTTTGCCTGCTTTCGAATCTCTGCCAAACTCAAAGGATGGTGGCTGTCTCCCTTGTTTATCGCAAGCTCCAAATAAATAGCCGTTGCCCATTCTCATTTGGTTGGTCTTCATTTATTTTCACACAACTTTCAACATCAAAAAGGCCCATGATGCTAAGAGTTCTTAACTGGTATTTTGATGAAGAAGGAGGCCATCAGCAAGATAAGGTACATAAATCAGGATTGTCTAATGTGTTCTTCAAAGAATTCTGCAAGATGGCAATAGGTGTTATGTGTGAGAAGAATTCCCCAGTTGCAATTGTTCGGTTAAATAAAGTGAGCAGGATTTCTTTACTTCAAAGCTTCTTGGAAATTTTTCTAAGGTGTTATTAATTGCTAAGAGGAGGATACTACATATCATGTCTTTCCAAACATATTTTAAGACAGAACTCATTTATAAATGGAGACTCATTTTTTCCTGAACAACCAACAAAACCATGAATGGGAATGCTGATACAGAAGATTCTGAAGATCACTTTAGCTTTAAAATCCTCTAAGCTTGCAGGTTTATGGGGGTTGTGACCCAAGGAGTATATCCTATGGCACAATCCAGGATTCACAGTACAACTCTCAGGAAGGAGACAATTAAAATGTTGCAGAACTAGAGAGTTAACCTGAAAGCAATCTGGTCCATCTCCTCCCTTGATTTTTCTAGTTCGAACAAAACAAAACAACAAATACAAAAAACCGAATTCAGTCTCTGCTTACATAGTGAAATGCATCCCTTTGCCCTGATACCACATCTTAACCAAACCGGACTGTAAAGCCTGGGTAGAAAAGTAGCCAGGCCAGGAAGGATTACTTCTACACCTTTGGGAATGTCACACTTCACTACTCAGGCTCATGACAAACAGAAGTGTCTCACCTGGACATCCTTCTACTTACTTTGGCCTCAAGAAGCCAAATTAGAAGTCTAAGGGCAGGGACCAGCAGTTAGCGTAATGGCTATGTCACTGGACTCCCATGTAGTTGACCACAGTTCGCATCCCGGACTCGGCTTAAAACTCACACTGGGTGCATGTGCATGCGTGCCCAAGATCCCGAGAGGAGAACAGAAGAGAAGGGATTGTGGTGTGGCCAACCCCCATGGGGGGTGATTTCTCGCTTTCTGTCTCTCTGTCTCTCTCTGGCGAGTGCACGCGACCTATAGCAAAAACCTCTAAAAAAAAAAAAAAAAAAGAGGAAGAAGAAGAAGTCTAAGGGTGCAGGAAAAAAGACTTTTTTTCTGTGGATGAAGACCAAGTTTGTATCTTTATATTTCCAAAGACAGAGATTCAGACATAACGTTTTTCAGAATTACCCATCGATTCCTCCCCCAATCTTCAGATAGCATTCAGAACTACTCCATGGATCCTCCTAGTCTCCTACCTAAAGTGAAGTCACTGCCCTCCATGATAAGTTTCAATGCATGAGAGATGTTTCAGTAGATCTCTAGACAGAGCCAAGTAGTTTTTTAGTGGCGTGAAAACTACCATATTCTTAGGTGTCACCTCACACCTCCTTTACAAAGTACCTTTCACACACATGGGAAGTGTTTAGAAACAAATGGTGTGGAAACAAAGAAACTAGATTACCTAGTGCTAGAAATAAGGTTTAGGGATGTGTCTGAAAGTTGTGTTTTAATTTTTCAGGTGTATGTGTGTGTGTGTGTGTGTGTGTGTGTGTGATCTTTCATAGGGGAACTGATTTTGAAAAAATTTCTTGCTGATCCAGAATAATCTAGTTGTTTTCTCTCTTGCTCCTTCTCTTCCGAAAAGCTAGATTGTATTTGGTAGTTTTCATACTATATTTTTTCTTTCGTGGAACATGTATTTATTTAACAAACATAAAACTCACTGTGTGTCAGAAACTATTCTAAAAACTTTACAAATATTAATTTATTCCTCACATCAGTTCTAAAAGGAACACAGCATTATAATAGCCATTTTTATAGGTAAAAAATATTCAAGCACAGAGAAGTTAGGCAGCTTGTCCAGATCACACAGCCAGAGGGGAACTGAACCCAGCCGTCAGATTCCAGAGCCCGGCTATTAATCACTATGCGATAGGCAGAGTATGCTCAGACAGATCTACTTTTAATTCCATTCAGGTATAAACTAAGGTTTTTAATATAATTTGGTATCTGGAAGCAGCCAAGCCTGAGGTCAATCAATCCTTTAGAAAAGGAAAGAAAAGGGGGTGGGAAAGTAAAGAATAGGTAAGACACAGGATGAATAAGGGAGAAGAGTAAATAAATGAATGCACAAAGTTAACCATGGAATTGAGTTCACATCTAGCTTTCTGGAAAGTGATGCTAAATCCCAGTAAGTAGCCTGTCATGAGTCCATGGGATGTCTTGAAGTTTCTTCTTTGGCTCCGAAGAGAGAGAGAAAGAGAAAGTACCCTGGACAGGGTCTCATGACATCACAATCCCCTTTTCCCCAGTCTTCCAAACTCCTCAGTATCCTGGGCACCGCCACGTGCACCGGCATATTTTCAGGCCAACCTAGAGATCTGAACCTGCAGCTGTCCCTATGGCTTCCAGCTTTGCAGGGGACTTGTATTACCTCTGCACCACAGCAGCAGGGCCACTCTTATGTTTTATGTTTGTTTTCTTTTCATGCTTTTGATCTGTGGTTGGTAGACTCTGTGGCTGTGGAACCTACAGATATGAAGGGCTGACTGAATCATCTGATGTCACACAGTAAGAAAGTAGCAGAACTGAGATTCAATTCTTTTTTTTTTTTTTTTTTTTTTTGAGAGGTTTTTGCTATAGGGCATGTGTGCTCGCCAGAAAGACAGAGAGAGACAGAGAGACAGAAAACGAGAAATCACCCCGCAGGGGGATGGCCACGCTGTAATCCCTTCTCTTCCATTCTCCTCTCAGGATCTTGGGCACGTATGCACGCATACCCCATGTGAGTTTAAGCCACCAGGTCTGAGACTCGAACCTCGGTTGACTACATGGGAGTCCAGCGATATAGCCATTACATCGATTGCTGGTACCACAGAGCTGAGATTCAAGCTCAGTGTCACTGGACAACAAAGCTCCATCGTTTCCTGTTCCTATACACTGTGCCACATGTACTTGCCAGGCAATTTAACAGCAGCAGTGGGAGATATGGAGGCGTAGGCAACATTCTAGCTTCCCTCGCGGCCAGTGTGACCTGGTCACCTGCTTCAATCCCACCAAGAACTCTGAGCCCTCACACAACCATTTTCTTCTTTGTTTTCAAAAGAGCCCTGTGGAACTACCCAGAGAAGGTATTATTAGGACCACTTTGAAGATGATTATGTAAGATGAACAATTTTACTGACAAATAATCCTACTAGGGATTAGTTTTATGACTCAGCTTCTATCATGGATCAAGAAAATTACTGACATAGAGACCAAAATAAGCAAGGTCAAGAGTCTTGATTTTATGAAACCATAGGGAGCTGGCTAGTTTTCTACTGGCTAAATAAGGGCGAGAAGGGCACACTCACCAGTCAGGAAGTCAGGGTCAGGGGTGGGCTCCGAGATTTCCTCTAGGCACTGATTCTCCAGGGGAACAGTGGCCACCACCAGACCATCTGGCAACTGTTGGTCTAAGCCACGAGCGAAGTTGTTTTGCCTAGAAACAGGACAGACCTTCATTTCTCGGTATTCAGGGAAACCCCACTCCTTGGTGGGCAGTCTGTATTTCAACCCACCATGGAAGAATTCTTTCTGGACCAAAAAGTTCCCCCCACTCTGAACTCCGTTCAATATGTGTGAGGAGTAAGACATATGTGTCTGGGGATAGGGTGAAGGCTGGGGAGCGGAGAAACAGTCCTGTTGAGAAGGTCTACTAAAACGGGCTATTATTCTCTCCCCACCACCTTAGTCCTTTTCCCTGACCCTCTCTTGACAAGATCTGAACACACTTGCTCTCACTTTTGGACTGCAGGAAAGGCTGTTGCCACTACAAGATTAGTTATGACAACTCACTTCTTGCCTTCGGCAAAGCAATTCCCAGGCTAAATGGGAAATATTTGTAAAGTCTCCTGTCTGTTAGAGAAAAAGTGACTCCAAGAACTGGCTTGGAAATTTACCATCAGTATACTCAAAAAGTTTAAGCCCAGGTTGCTCTCAAATGCTGGCCCTTATTCATAACACTGACATCATCATCGCCACCATAGTCATCGTTTCTTGGAAAGTATTTTCCATGGGTTCTGAGGAAGATGTATTCACATAGCCCAAGGTAGAACATGGACGGGGTCAAAGGCAGAATCTTCTGGAAATACTCTAAATCAATGACTTGGAACATTTTTTTCTTGAGATCCCTTTACATGCTTAAAAATAACTGAAGACCCGGGACCAGCAGTTAGTGTAATGGCTATGTCGCTGGACTCCCACATAGTGGACTGCAGTTTGAGTCCTGGACCCGGTGGCTTAAACGCACGCCAGGCACGTGTGCATGCGTGCCCAAGATCCTGAGAGGAGAATGGAGGAGAAGGGATTGCGGCATGACAATCCCCCCGGGGGGTGATTTCTCGCTTTCTGTCTCTCTGTCTCTCTCTGTCTTTCTGGCAAGCGCACGCGCCCTATAGCAAAAACCTCTCCAAAAAATAAAAAGTAAAGAAAAAAATAACTGAAGACCCGGGACCAGCAGTTAGTGTAATGGCTATGTCGCTGGACTCCCACATAGTGGACTGCAGTTTGAGTCCTGGACCCGGTGGCTTAAACGCACGCCAGGCACGTGTGCATGCGTGCCCAAGATCCTGAGAGGAGAATGGAGGAGAAGGGATTGCGGCATGACAATCCCCCCGGGGGGTGATTTCTCGCTTTCTGTCTCTCTGTCTCTCTCTGTCTTTCTGGCAAGCGCACGCGCCCTATAGCAAAAACCTCTCCAAAAAATAAAAAGTAAATAAAAAAATAACTGAAGACCCCAAGTAGCTTTACTATATCTATATGATAAACCTTCAGTTCTATCAATATTAAAACAGACATTTTAATAATATTATTAATTCATGTTAAAATAACAGTGAATCTATTTAATATTAACATATCTTATAAAAATGAGGGTAGTGGCATATTTCTACATTGTTTGTAAAATTTTTGAATGTCTGACTTAGTAGAAAACAGTTGTAGCCCACATATGAATCCAGTCCCAATTATTACAATATATTGTGTGGGTTGAAGTATGTAAAGAAAATTCAGCCTTTTAGAAGCTGGAAAAAGCAGGACATTGAATACCCCTGAAAGGGTCTCAGGAAACCTCAGGTTTTCTTGGACCACACCCTGAGGACTGCTGTTCTAGAATGACTCTCACACTAATTCTCAGGGGAAAAGGAACTTGAGCATTTCGGTGTGGCTTCCACACAGGAGCTTGCAATCTTTCTCTGGGCAAGGTAAAATCTCATCTAACACTTTACTTCCATACAGAGGCAATTCCAGAGGAATCACGGATCTTGGATTCTGGAAGGAGTATGTAGACTTGGTGAGAACATAACCTATTTCTTTAGTCCTATCACATTTACCTTACTCCCAAGATACAAAACTTAAGACTGAGTTCAAGGCTCTTCAAAGAAGAAAATCAACCAACATCCTTGAAAAATGAGTTCTATGCACATGGGGTTCACCTGAATGTCCCTTTCAGCACCTGTCCAGCAGCCACTTCCTTGGATTGGTTGTTATAACCAAAGAACATCTCCCCAAAGAGGGTCTGGTTCATGGGCAGCTCCCTGCTTTCCCCACAGTCACTTCCCTCTGGACAGGTCTCTGTGATGAGTTGGCAAGAGCGTCCATCCACACCAAGCTTGTAGTCTTCAATGCATCTAACAAAAAAGAGAACTCTGGATAAGAAATTATTGCACCAGGGAACTGCACAGGCAAGTCAACCAATACCTGGGGAAGAAATGCCTTTTAGACAGGCTTGGATGGCCAAAGATCAGGAATATTCCAATTTGATTCTGACCCCTTTATAACTCAGTTTCTTTAACCTATAAATGGAGGGTCGTTTCATCAGGTGACCATGCCAAATCTCTCACCTTTCCTTTGCAGATAAGTCTTTTCAGAATCCTCTCTCCTTGGGACCAGCAGTTAGCGTAATGGCTATGTCGCTGGACTCCCACGTAGTCGACCGCGGTTCGTGTCCCGGACCCAGTGGCTTAAAACTCACGCCGGGCGTGTGTGCGTGCGTGCCCAAGATCCCGAGAGGAGAATGGAGGAGAAGGGATTGCGGCGTGACCATCCCCCCTGGGGGGTGATTTCTCGCTTTCTGTCTCTCTGTCTCTCTCTGTCTTTCTGGCAAGCGCACGCGCCCTATAGCAAAAAATCTTTCCAAAAAGAAAAGAATCCTCTCTCCTCAATAATCATATGCTGGGGAACCAGCAGTTAGCATAATGGCTATGTCGCTGGACTCCCACGTAGTCGACCGCGGTTCGTGTCCCGGACCCAGTGGCTTAAAACTCACGCCGGGCGTGTGTGCGTGCGTGCCCAAGATCCCGAGAGGAGAATGGAGGAGAAGGGATTGCGGCGTGACCATCCCCCCTGGGGGGTGATTTCTCGCTTTCTGTCTCTATGTCTCTCTCTGTCTGTCTGGCGAGCGCACGCGCCCTACAGTGAAAATCTCTCCAAAAAAAAAAAAAAAATCATATGCTTTCTCAAGTAGATCTGGGCAAGAAACACTGCAAATAAGTTTATAAGTACAAAATATTCTAAAGCCTTTCTCAAGAATCATCTAAATAGTAGAGGGAAAGAAATTAGGGAGGAAAAATAGGCTAGATATTTGCGGGCCACAGTAATGGCTTATTATCTGTTGATGCTAATGTGTATAGTATTCTCCACTGGACTGGTCTGAGGTGTATTTCATGTTGGGTACATTCTCTTTGCAAGTCAAATGATGTATAGAGATCCAATGTATAATAACAATAATAATAATAAAATACAAAATTTTTTTAAAAAAGAAAGACTGCCAACAAGAAGATTTAAAAAGAAAAAAAAATAAAGAATCGTCTAAACAGGCCAGACTATGCATTTGTTTGAAGGGTAATTAGGCAGCCAAAGGAATGACACTGTGCTTAAGAAATTAATAATGTTCTAATCTGGTCCTGTGACAAGTCAACTACAAAATTAGAAAGATTTATCATCTCTTGGCTGTGTTCTATTAGAATGTATCCAAATACAAGATCAGCCCATGCAAACTCCCCCTCCATTCAAAGTAGCCTTCCTGAACTAAACAGATGTTAGGGCACACAGCGTGGGCACCACGTGCACCATTAACTGGCATCCCCTCCATAAGGCATGTACAGTGACGCTAATGCAAAAGCAATACTAATGTTGGTAAACATGGGTCAGTGACTCATAAGTCATTAATTGGACCTTATTTGTAGCTACTAATTTCTTTTTATTTGCTAGCGGGCACATACATCTGCTGTTAAGAGAGAGAGAAAGAGAAGGAAAGTGAGAAAGCACCTTACCCTTCTTTTCCATCTCTCCTTCCTTTCAGGGTTTTGGGCATGCACACACATGTGTCTGACATGTTTCTGAAGCCACCAGGTCCGGAATTTGAACAGCAGTCGGCCATGTGGGATCCGGAAGCCTCTAACAACCACACCGCCTGCTGGCTCCTTATATTGCAGATATATTGAGAAGGGTATACATTCGTTAGCTCAAGTAAGAACTATTTCTTTCATAAAGTTGTTATTGAAAAAGAAAAGTGGGGGCCAGCAGGTGGTGTAGTGATTAAGGCACTGGACTCCCACGTGGTTGACCATGGTTTGAGTCTCAGATCTGGTGGCTTGAAACTCACATGTACATGCATGCTCAAAATCCTGAGGGGAGAAGGGATTATGACGTGGCCATCTCCACTATGGGGTGATTTCTCACTTTCTCTGTCTCTGGCGAGCACACACACCCTATAGCAAAAATTTCTTTTAAAAAAATTGATTTAATTTTTGTCTCTCCTTAGTAATATGCCAGATTTAGAATTTAAAGATGCTTGTGTTAAAGCACATCATTTATTACTATCAGCAATACCTTCGAGTATTAAGCTATATTGTAAGAGCAATGACTTTGCTCCTTCCTGGATGACCTCGGACTAGTTGATAAACCTCTCTGAGCTTCTGTGGGGGAGAACAGTTGCTTCCCTGTCTTGTTGAGAAGATTAAGATACTGAATGTGAAGAACTTTCGTAGTGCCTAATCAATAGCTCGAACTCCTTAAATGTTGCTATTTAGCATTATTTGCAAGAGTGTAAGTGAGGTCCTCGTTAATGCAATTAATGCAATTTTAACTGCTTGTTCTTTCCATTTCCCATTTATAATATTTGTATGACCAAGTATGAGTAGAGCTTTTTAATTATAAGTGCGTATGATTTGGTTTTCATATAAGAACCTCAAATCAAGAACTTCTTTGGCAGGCTATATTCCGTGCCTTGGACACTGTTAAACACGCATGTGTACCTATTTCTGATTAAAACAGGAAAGAAAGCCCAGTTAGGGACCTACAGTATTGGTCCAGGAGACAGATGTAATTCAAGATCTATGGAGGACTCAGCAGGGCGCCCTGGGTCTGGGACAAGATAATGAAGTGAGTCCTTCCTTGAGTCATAACAATGATTCTGGGAAGAATTTTGAAGCTGACTGCTTCCTCCCAGGGTTCCCTAAATATCTTGACAGTTCTTTTCACAGTGTTCCATCTTCCCCATGCGGCTATCCCTGCATGCCACTCTAAAGTGCACTGAGGGAAAGACCAGCTCTGACATCTTCTTATTTCTCCTTTATCGAACACCTAGTGGGGTTCTCTGCACAGAGTGGGTGCCCAAAGACACACCTATTAGATACATCTATGTAACACTGGCTGAATTTGCCTCTATTAATTGAAGTGGGTCAATCCTAATGATAACATTATAGAAAACATTAAAATTTAGAGCAAGCGTGCATTTATGGAACGGGATCTTACAAGAAACTGAATATGAAAACGGCTCAATTGCAAAGAAGTAAAATAGAATGAAATACAATAAAGCAATATTACTACTCCACCAAATAATCTTTTCATGATTATTTAGCAGGCATTGGCTTTTAGCAACAATCCAACATAGCTTTATTACTATAAACATTGATTTTCACTGCAAGCCTATTAGATGGTGAGATCCTTGAAGGCAAGAGCTACATGTTATTCATCTTTGAGGCCCAGTGGCCAGCATGGTCCATGCCATAAAATAAGCATTCCTTTACCCCATAGGGAGGAAGGAAAGAGGGTCTTGGGGGAGGATAGACCAGCCAACTGCCAGTGTAGAAGAATGGGCTTAATCTATTGACTTTATAAATATAGCATAAAAATGTCTTGAAGTATAATTCTAGTCAGTGGTGTACATTTAAATTCTGAGAGAACTGCAAAACTTTTGAAAGGTCAGGGAGGGGCTCAGGCAGTGGTACAGTGGTAATGCAACTGTACCCCCACGGGAAGGTCTGAGGACCACATCCCAGGGCCTTCCTGTGCACGTGGACTACATGTATATCCATGTTATTGGTTGGCTGAAGCTGGGGATGGATCACGGGGCGAAGACCTGTTGGGGATGCCTGTCTCTCTGCCTTTCCCTCTCTCTTGCTTGCCTTTTTTGTTCTTTCTCACATAAGACATAATAATGATAAAACAAACCAAAAAAAAATCAAAAACAAACAAAAACATTTTTGAAAATCAGGGAAGGCCTGAATTGTAGTCCTAATCCTCCCCATTTTCCAACTCCCAGTCTGGAGGGAATCGTTTCACTTCACTGCACTTGTTTTCTCATCTATAAAATCGTTGGCATTGCCTGCTCTGCTTGCTTGAGTCATTCTGAGAACAGACGAAATGAGGTGGGCCAGAGAGCTGGTCCGCAGTCGAGGACTCCTTACTCCAGGACGACTGTCCTGGAAGAGTGGCTGCAGGGATCGCTGCAACTCTGAGGGCAGAGTTGAAATGAGCTCCCCTTTTTCACAGACACCTCTCCCACTTTCTTTGATTATCAATG